CTCCCTCCCCCACCCCCCTCCCCCTTCCCTCCCTCCCACTCTCTCCTCTCCCCCGTCCTCACTCTCACACACCCTGGCTGACACTTTAGAAATTGCTGTGGCTTTCCACGTCAGGCTCTGTGCTGAGGCAGCGAGTCTCTCTCGTCATCACCATGTATTTCTGAAGCCCTCACTCACTCTGTGTCTCGTCACCACTGCCACTTTCTCCTCCCTTCTGCTGCCAGTGCTTTGCGTCTCACTCCCCAGCCCTTCCTCGCTCTCCACCCCTTCCGCGCTCTCCTGCTCCACCAGTGTTCCGTGGGCCCCATGCCATCCCTTCCCAGGGTCACCCGTCCGATCCTCCTCTCTCCCACGCCCCCGCTCCCTGGGACTTTCCCCTGGCCTCAGCCCCACCGGGCTCTGGGCCGCCCTCGCCTCCGGCCCAGGATAGCTCTCACGGGGCCGCCCGGCAGGTAATGCCCGGCACTGGCACCGGGGGAGCCTCTTCTGCAGCCACCTCGTCCCCCCTCCCCTCTTCTGAACTCCGTCACCCTCCCGAGATGCACGTGCACTTGTTACAGCCCAAATCTTTGCCTGTAGCGACAGGGCTGACGCCTAGTCTCAGCCTGGCCGAGAGAGCCCTTCTGATGCAGCCTCCCTCCCCGCCCAGCTGGCCCACGTCCTGGGCGTGCCGAGTGGCCCTCAGCCTCCTGTAAATGTGTGGCTCAGACTCCGCCTCAGGGCCCCGCACGTGCTGTGCCTTCTGCCTGCAGTGCTTTTCCCCTTCCTCCTCCTGACTGGTCACTGAAGTTGTCACTAGGTGCCTCCTCCAGGAAGCCAGCTGGTCAGGGGCACCTGCTGGGGAGAGGGGCTTCTGGGCCCTGCTGGACAACACTTCTATGAGAGCACACGCCAGACGGCGTGATTTAGATGCCGGTCTCAGCTGAGCAGGCCTGGCTGAAGGCGGGGCTGGGTGCCTGGCCTGTGGCATCACCCCAACACACGGGCGTTTAGAGAGTGTCTGGCTTTTTGACTGTTCATCCTTAGACTTTCCAAGCCATACGCGATGCTTTTTGTTTCAGGTTGTTTTTCTAGCAAAGTATTTGATAAAGAAACCTCCTCTGATGCAGAGGGAGACAGAACACACAGATCGAGGTTGTCCTGCCTCCTTAAAACAGCTTCGGTGGCTTTGTCAGCTGCTGACGTCTCCCAGGGATGTGCCACGTGGATCGTGGACAGATCATGACATTGAAGAATTCAGTACAAGGCAGTGGAGGGAGATAATCTCTCTTGCCCACACAAACAGCTTCAGACCTGGGGGGTTTTCATTTTATATGCGGGGTGCGACCAGCAGGCCACTGCCAGGACATGGCCGTGCCTCCAGCTCCGATCCGCTCATGGTCCCCTCGTCCTGGGTGTGAGGGGAGGACCACCAGGGAGCAGAGGGCCAGGAGGGCATTTCAGCAGTCACCCAGCCCCTGAGGCTTCTGCTCCATCTAGTTACTTCATTTGGACAAAACCTTGTTCTCTGTACTCCAGGTTGGTTGACCACGTCACACTGAACAGAACTCCTCCAGGGGACTGTGCCTTAGCTCACCTCTGACATAGACTGCCAGGCCCGCATGCAGGGCTCAGGCACGATTCTAGACCCAAGGTCTTGCAGAGAAGCAGATTCTGGCTTCACCGCTGGGACCTCTACCAGCACAAGGGTTAATGACGTTCTAGTGATGTTAACCCATGGCTCAAAGCATCACTTCACACCTACAATGAAGGGGCCGGATGGATGACCCCAGAGGTGCCTGCCTGCTTGCATGTTTGGGGTTTTCTGGGCCAAAGGTAGAGCATGAAGAGGTGATAGAGGTGGAGGGGGGACGGCAAACGTGAATGGCTTCTACCCGAGCGCTGGCAGCACCCATGGAAAGGGCTCTGCTCTTCCCTCTTTCCTCACTGGCGTTCATCGTGGCCCATGAAACTGTGCCCCAGGTGTCACTTTTAGCGCCAGCCCCAGCATTCGGGGCTGGGCTTGGTCCATTTCTCCTGGTGGAATTTTCCCATTGCCTTGGGAATATTGCAGGTGGCAGAACAGAGCAGCAGAAGTGGAAATTTTCCTGCAGTTTTCACCACTTGTGCCTCGAAGCAGAACTTGGGGCAGAAAGCGACGCGTCATTTTGGCATCTGTGTTCCAGGGCCAGGGGTGGCAGCTGGGCTGAGTGGGA